AGGACCAGTGGATATGGGAACATTGGAAACAGATACCATTACCAAAAGAATATTCAAAATCAGAGACACACCGACAACCGAGGCGGCGGTGGCATTTTCACACCATCCATCAGTGCTGATCCTTTCCCCATTCAGGTCTTTCCTGAAAATGCTTCTCCATTGTTTTACTTAAAGTACACTATACTGTGTTATATACAGTCGGTACATAATTCATCACACACTGATACAGGTTTCATTGTTATCCTTTTCTAGGTGGTGGAAGATGATGATGATGATGAAAAGCTGGACCTAAAAGCCCCTGTGCAGGGCAGTGACACTGTGGCTGTAGTTAACAAAACATTGTTATTGCCTGTGAGCGGAAGCTCTGTCTCCAATGAGACAGGCTTATCACCTTCTTCATTTTCATCTTCCTTATCTGCAACATCTTTGTCAACACTGGTTTCATCCTTAAATTTGAATCAGTTGCCAACAGCGGTGAGTCCAGTCCTGCCTGAAGGTGAGTGCCGCACTCCTGCACAATAGAATTTTTTTCACAACAAACATTTTGAAATTCTGTTTAACTGCTGCAGTTCCAGAAATCTAGCTAGTTATTTGGTGAGCTATCTGAAATGTTTGGTGAGTTAGTTTAAATGTTTAGTGGCCAGAACAGCAGTTGAAATGTTTGCTAGCGCTAGTGACTGGTAACAGTTAGTCTGAATTAGCCTGAGTAGATGAAGGGATGTGTTGGGTGTGTGGGCAAAGAGAGAGGTGGTTCTGAGATGCTGAAACACATTGTTGAACCTTCTCTGTGTTGTGGGCCCAACTTAATGAAACACCAGTTAGTGAGAGGGTGCCCACCTGATGACCCTGTAAACTTGCTTTCACTCCTCCACCCACACAGAACTTGTACTGGTGTTGGTGATATACAGGAATACTTGACTTACTGGGGTTGTTAGTAATGTATTCTTCTTTGGTTTGACAAACGTATTAGAACAGTGTCAGTGGTGACTGCCATTACAAGCCAGCTGGGCCAGCCACTGCTTAACCTGAGCAAATACAATGCAGCTGCCATGTGTCAAGCCACATACAGTATCTGCTCTTTGCCTGGGTGAGGATAGGGTTCAGGGCTGCTTTGTGTTAAGGGTAGGTTAGGTCTGGAAAATGATGTTGCTTATTGTGGGGCTCTGAAGATTTATGATGGCATGGCCTGTCACCCCCCTCTTTGGGGCCAGATAATGGGTAAACATCATTTAACTTGTAGCTTCCATTTGAATGCCCTCCCATTCTTTGGCACATGTGTTTTATTGACTGTTCCAGGGTCTTGGTATTGTGCATGCTGCCTCACTGTCACATTACCATACATGAATAGAACAGAGCCATCATTAATGCTTTTAGTAACACCTGTGTTTTTCCTGCCATGGCAACTCAAATTGATACATACAGACAGTTTCTGTTAAAACTGTTTCACTTCATGGTCATTTTGGAGGCTGCAGAATTTAGGGCTGTTTTGAATTGTACTACTTTACACAGAGAGGTGTTTTGAATATTTTTTCCTACCCCAACTGATACAAGTGAGTTGGACATAATATTAGAAACACCTCAAAGTATGATGCAGGACAATGTAACAGCACCACAAAATGACCATATACTGTAGCTGAAACAACATTTCTCTTCATGAAGGGAGGATTTATTGCAGGACTCTTGTATTGATCTGCATTAGTTGTACCTTGGTGTACCTATAAATTTTGCTCTTCTCTTTGAGCACATAAATATTGCTTGGAAACTGTGTATCTCACACACCATTTCTCCTTCAGAGGCCCCAATTCTTGATCCCCGCTGCACCTTCAAACTGGACCAAGGCACCTGCAGAGACTATATCATCCGCTGGTACTACGACAAGCAGGCCAATGCCTGTGCACAGTTTTGGTATGGAGGCTGTGGTGGAAATGACAACCGTTATGAAACAGAAGATGAATGCAAAAAGGCTTGTGTTCTATTCAGAACAGGTAATTTCAGCTGATTTTTAACAAAAAAAAAAGTCTGATCTTAATATTAATTTCTAATTGTTATACTTCTTTATATACAGCTGCATAAAAGAAGAATCAATCAGAAAGTTGACTTTTCTGCTCTACAGTCAGCTGATATTATTTTAATGTGATACATTCTGTCATTTGTGTTCATAAAATTTCATGCACTTTTCTAACACATTTGTCCTCTCACACAGATGAATTTTGATTAAATAGTAAAGCAGTGTTAAATGGTGATGACCAACTAAATCAAATCCTGACAAACGGCTGATATTTTGCCTTTTTAATTGAATGACTGCCTGACTGACTTATTAACTGCTACAAAAACTGACTTTATTACCTCAAAGAAATTGTATTGCTAACACACAAGGAGGAATTCTTCACTCAGGATTTGACTGTCCTGGGCTTAAAGTGACTCCAGAGAGTTTATTATATTTTAAAATTAACCTATAAATCATTCTTTGCACCTCTTTAAGCCATGTGCTTCGCATACACTGCATATATTTCTAATAAGACAACTATAGTTAGATGTTTGTTTACCTTGTGTTTATGGTATGTAATTTTCTGAAATATGCTCTGAGTACATTTATGTTTGTTTTGTTTGTTGTTTTTAATGCTACGTCGACGCAGGTTAAAACTTGTGGCTGTAATAAACAGTTATGTCCATGACGGTATTGCTTGCAAGTGTCATTTTGTAATGACAATTGAACCCTTTTGCAATTTATTCATTTAATAAATTTGTCAATTTATGCCATGTGTTTATATCTGAATAAATGCCTTTTTGTGTATTTTAATAATAAAATATAATAAAAACTCATGGTGGTTCCCTATTTTATGTCTTTAGTAATCAAAATAACAACTGTCAATATTACTTTCATGATGTGTGTCCACCCTCTGTTGAATTCCTAGTAAGGAGTGTAATGAAAGATACAGTTAGAAGCCTAAATATGTTTTTTAGTCACTTGTGTTATATTTGCAAGAGGCGGTGTACACCCTGGACAGGTAGCCAGTCTATCACAGGGCTGACACTTAGAGACAGACAACCACCCACAATCATACTCACACCTACAGTCAATTTAGAGTTTCCAGTAAATAAAAACTGCACGTCTCTGGACTGTGGGAGGAAGCCGGAGAACTGGGAGAGGACCCACGCAGGCACAGGGAGAGCATGCAAACTTAGACAAGAATTTTAAAATTAAAAAATGAAATACAGTAATAAGATTTTACAATGTATTTTATGTAGGCTATACGGGTTATTCGGTTCAAATAGAATGTGAATTTTTTTGCCAGCATTTGGATTAATATACTCATTGACAGAAGAGAGATTGGTAAAATAGGACGGTCAAATAAATCTTGCGAAATTTTGGTCCAAAGCTGTTTTGTCCCCTTGGCTTGCCGTCTGTTGCCACAGTGACTATGACGCTATATCAGACTTCTTCAGAGTAGCTAGCAAACTAATATGTAAAAAAACTGTGACAGATAGCGTTATTCTTCTAACCCAAGAGAGTAGTAAGCAACCGTCATGGCATCCGTTTTAGATGCTCTCTGGGAAGACAGAGACGTGAGATTCGACATAACAGCACAGTAAGTTAGCTAACGATGAATTTTTTGGGGGGATGATTTCACCGTCGTAGAATCTAGTTAGCTCAGCTATGCTATTGGCTAACCCCTTCAGATAAAGTAATTCGTAGGTAATAATTGATCGAAATGTTTTCCTGTTAATTGTGTCTGTTGTTAAAAATATTGTTTAGTAACAGCGTACTGTCACATTTACTAGGATTACTGTAACCATCTATAACATTCTTAGCTAAACTTAGCGCTAATTCTCAGCGCTTTCGCTAACACTGATCAATGAATCAATCTGTCGCTGTACACAGACAGATGAAAACTCGTCCAGGAGAAGTGCTGATAGACTGCCTGGACTCCATAGAAGACACGAAAGGAAACAACGGAGATAGAGGTAGCTATGACGGAGGTTCAAACAATCTAGAAATCCTGTGTGTGGCTTGCCAGCTAGTTAAATACTGACATGTCCACCTTTTTGCAGGACGACTCTTAGTAACAAACCTGAGAATCATTTGGCACTCTTTGGCCCTGCCAAGAGTAAATCTGTGTGAGTACATTTGCGTGTTTAAATGTATGTCTATATTTGTGTTTATTTTGATTCTGTTTCCACCAGCATCTCATAGTCTGTTTATTTCTGCCCTCCCTTGGAAATGCACGACATTAAATTACCTTATTTAGTGGTATTATTCCTAATCAAGAATAAGCGGTATAGGTAATGGGTGGATTTATTTATTTTTTAGCTGTGGGCTACAACTCAATTATTAACATCACAACAAGGACAGCTAACTCGGTGAGTAAACATTTGTTTTCTTTTTATAACTATTAATATTTTTATGTCCTTATTATTTAAATTCCACAGAAATTGTCCAGAATCTTTCTGCATTTCTTCACACAAAGCACAGATACTGCTTCACATGTTATAGGCACTTGTTAAGTTAAGTGAAAAATGTGTAATTGCCTCAAGGTTTCTGTTAATTACATTCTGCTTTTATTCACAAACACGACTTCTAAAGTGAAAAAATGTTTCAGTCTATGTAAGGACAAAGCTAACAACAGCAGCATCATTTTAACATGCTATAAACTGTAGTAAATAATATATAATGTGCTGTATACATGTGATAAAGTCAGATAAAATGCTAATTTATTGGTCTTTTCTAGAAATTGAGGGGCCAAACCGAAGCACTCTACATCCTTACAAAGGCCAGCAACACACGATTTGAATTCATTTTCACCAATGTGGTTCCAGGAAGTCCACGGCTGTTTACCTCTGTTATTGCTGTACACAGGTAAAACTATGCTGAGGGGAGATTTAATTCTCCGATCGCATTCCACATAAAATTAATGTCCAACTAAATATTTTCAAGTGTGCTTTGTTTTGTTTCAGGGCCTATGAGACCTCAAAAATGTACAGAGATCTGAAATTGCGAGCTGCCCTAATTCAAAATAAGCAGCTGAGACTTTTGCCCCGAGAGCAAGTGTATGATAAAATTAATGGAGTTTGGAATTTATCCAGTGATCAGGTACTGTGTTCCTCCTGAATATTTAATTGGATATAAATACATGAAACACATGAGCAACACAACCCCACTGCAGTGAAATAATCAAATGTAAATACCCTATCTAAAGTTATTCCTCCAATAAATACCGGTAGTCCCAATTATTTTTCACGGTGTCCACATCTAGTACGTGGAGTAAGCAACTGGTTTATACTGACTCCACTGTTCTTGTTTATTCTTTTAGGGTAATCTGGGAACTTTCTTTATAACCAATGTTCGGATTGTGTGGCATGCCAATATGAACGAGAGCTTTAATGTCAGCATTCCTTACCTCCAGATTGTAAGTATATACACTACATGACAATTGTAATCCAAACCTCTCACTTTTTGCCTGATTAAATGGCTTTTTAATTGACTCTAATAAACAGGGTTCTGGTTTTTATGGATAGCTTGCAGCTAAATGTGTCGTTACCAGATAGGCTACTATAATGTAGACAGTAATAATCAAAATGGTTGCATGTTTTTACCTTTAGCTAATAGTTATTACAATATGCAAGGCATTTGTAAATGACAGAAGACAGTTTATAAACAGTACACCTGCAAGTAACAAAAAACAAAAGCTTTAAGTTGGTGTACCGTACATTCAGCAAAAGCTGTGAAGTACCTTTGTTTTAATCAGATGTTTTAATCAGTGCATGATAAATATTTGTTTAGTGGCTCATTTCAGGAGCACTGTGCCCGATCAGATTTTATTATAAAATTCGGGTAGTTTCATTGCAGTAACATACACCACTGTACCCTTGCACACACATTGCTACTAATGATCTTGTTATTGTTGTAAAATCACATTGTTTATTATTACTGTTTTATCTTTTTTCTCCCAAAGTGGTCCATCAGAATAAGAGACTCAAAGTTTGGCTTGGCTTTGGTGATAGAGAGTTCACGTCAGGTAACCCTTGAGTCCCATTCACCTGAAGTGATCATAATATAACGATTCGATACTAGTAATGTTCCTCTGGTTTGTTTGTTGGTGATATACAAATATACTCTGTTTATGTGGTTTTAAGAGTGGTGGCTACGTGCTCGGGTTTAAGATTGACCCTGTCGATAAGCTTCAAGACGCACTTAAGGAAATCAACTCATTGCATAAGGTGTACTCTGCCAACCCTATTTTTGGAGTGGACTATGAAATGGAAGAAAAGGTAGAAATATGAAAATTTCAGTAAAAACACTCATCCTGAACACTTTATTAGAAAAGATTAATAATATACAACTTTTAAAGTAGTGTAAAATACAAGAGTTATTTTAATGGCTGATTTCTCTTAGTTACATTCATATACTGTACATGTTTTTGAATACTGCACTGTAGTTGAACAGTCAGCAGTTCAGCTGATCATGTTGTCATAGCACTGTTTGTCCTAAAAATGATCACAGCCACAGCCGCTGGAAGAACTGACGGTGAACCAGCCTCCTGATGATGTGGAAATTGAGCCCGACGAGCAGACTGATGCTTTCACTGTGAGTGTGCCCACTGGTCACCCTTGGACTCATCACTCCTCTGAGAGTCAGAGTTTAGCTTTCAGACTCTCAGAATAGCAGTCAGCTAATACCCTGCAGCATAATGAACAAACATGAATTTACATTGCCTAGTGCTCATGCTTGTACAAATTGGGGCTTATTAGACAACAACCTATTATTACAGTCCAAATGATTCAGGTATTTACATGTGTTGTTTATGTTTGCTTGCTTTCAGGCTTACTTTGCTGATGGCAGTAAGGTAAATTCTCACAATTAATAATTCTAATTGTAAAAAAAATATGTTGCGGAATGTTAATTTGTGTATTGTTACTCCAAAGCAACAAGATCGTGAGCCAGTTTTTTCAGAGGAGCTGGGCCTTGCCATTGAAAAGCTGAAGGATGGGTTCACACTTCAAGGACTGTGGGAAGTCATGAGCTGAAACAATATATGTGCGCATAGTGTAATTATTGAGGAAATAATGGATTTATTTATACATATATCTTGGGTTAAATGTTGTATAGCTTATGCATACATATTTACCTAATAAGAAAATATGTGTGTGTGGTAAATTTATTGTAATTAGTATACAGTATATTTAATTAGTATACAGTATATTTTTATAGCCTATAGAATGGGAACTATAATACAGTTTGTATTGTTTAAAGTTAATGTATTTAAATCGATATTAAGAGTACATTTACAGTATTTAAACTCTAAATATTCAGGTTTGTACACAGTTTATTTGTATGTGATAAGGACACAATGATCTCAGGCTAAATGCAAAGGTGCATAAGGCACTAAAGTATTTTAAAAATGTTAAAGGAGGACAACTGTCACTTCCCATTTTAGCAGCTGTTCCTGTTTCCATGTTAGGTAATTCCTTAGTGGGAAATACTTGGTCACACATGCTCTAGTGAAACGGTCATTACTATCAGTGATTTTGAATCACTCAGATGTCTCTAGAACACATGTGTAGTAAATGCCAACCATGTCTGTGAACACAGTACACTGGAGCAAATAGTTCTGTCATTGTGTTTTGTGTTTTTAATGTGTACTTTACTGCATTTCTTGTAAGAATATATTTTGACTTTATTAGATAGGAGTTAATAAAATGAAAAGATCAGAGGTTATTTCAATGTGGCTGTATGACAATGTTGTTACTAATCACCAGGGTGCCATGGCTCCGCAGTTGTTTTTACTCTATGACAGCTGTGTGAGCTCTCTGGTTTGGCCAACCTGAATTCTTCATGGATAGGGTGACTGGCTATATTTAGAGGGGTTCAGTTATATTGAAGGGGCTTCAGACCTGGCTGCCTATAGTTGTGCATTCACCAGCTAGGACAGTCTGTCGTGAACTGCCTCATTTCCATCCACTTCCTGTACTATAAGAATGGATCCCCAAAGCTTGAAGGAAGATCTCCGTCTGTTTCAAAGCACTCTGCTGCAGGATGGACTCAAAGAGCTTCTGAATGAGAATAAGTTAATCGATTGTATCCTAAAGGTTGGAGACAGAAGTATCCCCTGCCATCGGCTCATTCTAGCAGCATGCAGTCCTTATTTCAGGGACCTTTACTTCTCAGAGGATGGCAAGGAACTGGACAGCAAGGAGGTTGTTCTACAGGACCTGGACCCGAATATTATGGAGGTGATTGTGAATTACATGTACTCAGCAGAGATTGACATCAACGAAAGCAATGTGCAGGATATTTTGGCCGTTGCCAATCGCTTCCAGATCCCTTCAGTGTTCACAGTTTGTGTGAATTTTCTGCAGAAGAATCTGTCAAAGAAAAACTGCCTTGCCATCTACCGACTGGGACTGATGCTGAACTGTGCCAGACTGGCAATGGCAGCTCGAGATTACATTGCAGATAGGTTTGAAACCATAGCCCAGGATGAGGAGTTCTTAGAGCTGGCTCCACATGAACTATTTGCCATTATTGGAGCAGATGCACTGAATGTAGAAAAAGAAGAGGTAGTGTTTGAGTCCGTCATGAGGTGGATCAGGAAAGACAAAGAGAAGCACGTGAAATCCTTAGGAGACGCCTTTGAGTACATACGCTTTCGTTTGCTCCCAGAGAAGTACTACAAGGAAAAGGTAGAGAAAGATGACCTTATCAAGTCTGATCCTGAGCTTGTCAAAAAACTGAAGGTCATAAAGGAAGCTTTTGCAGGGAAGCTACCTGAAAAGAAAAAGGGAAAAGATAGCGAGGAAGGAGAGGAAGGAACATTGCCTGGTTACCTGAATGATACCCGCAGATACGGCATGTATAGCAGAGACCTGTTGTTGATGATCACTGACACTGCTGCTGTGGCCTATGACGGCCAGGAGAATGAATGTTTTCTAGCTGCAATGGCTGAGCAGATTCCCCGAAACCACGTCAGTCTGACAACAAAGAAGAACAATCTGTATGTGTTAGGAGGACTCTTTGTTGATGAAGAGAACAAAGAAAACTCACTGCAATGTTACTTCTACCAGGTAAAAAAAAAAAAAAAAACTTTATTGATATTAATATTACATTCACACAAGAAATATAATTCCATGATTTTGTTTTCAAAAACATCTCAAAATGTGTCTTTCAGTTGGACGCTCTTGCAGCTGGATGGATTGCTCTTCCGCCCATGCCTTCCCCTAGGTGTCTCTTTGCTATGGGGGAATTTGAAAATCTCATCTTTGCTGTAGCAGGAAAAGATTTACAGTCCAATGAGTCTCACGATAGTGTTTTGTGCTATGACACTGAGTAAGTTCAGTACATCAACTCTTTGGATTTTAGAGGATAAGGCAAATCATTGTCTATATTAATAGTATTTTCAGCAATCACCATACAGAGACTAAAATCGACAATGAATTGCCTCTAGCTACAGTTAAGGTTTGAGAGCTGTCAGTCCTGGTTTAGCTCGTTCACCTCTGTGATAGACCTCCGTTGTTCAAGACTGTTAAAAACACATCAGGGAAACACTGCTGCACTGGGTGACAGTTTTTTTTGTAATGAGACACCAGGACCGACTATGCTGCCCCAAAGGCTCTGTGCAGCCATAATTTCCCAAAGTTAGCACAAGTCAGCGTCAACTGCGCATGTGTGAGATTTTGTGTGAACTCTTTGCTTTGTTTACATTTTGTTAGCTACTCATGCTCAGGTCTGGTGTTTGCTAAAGAAGAAACGTCACCCAGTGTAGCGGTGTGTTTCACCGATGTGTTTTTAATCATTTTTGAACAGCAACAGAGGTCTATGACACAGAAATATAAGCTGATCCACGACTGACAGAGAGGTTGAGACTGACAGACATTAACCGTGAGTGGAGGCAGTTCATTTTCATTGTATGGAGATTGCTGAAAATACTATTCATATAGAAAGTGACCAGACTTTTCTTTTAATTCAATGGATTATGCCTATTAACTGTTGAACATATTCTGTAAATTTATCTAACCTTTTAGAAAGATGAAGTGGACTGAAACAAAAAAGTTGCCCTTGAAAATCCATGGCCACTGCGTCGTGTCTGAGAATGGGCTGGTGTACTGCATCGGAGGCAAAACAGATGACAAGTAAATATTGCAATGCCAGAAGATTTAATATATAGTCCAAATATGATTTCCATGTTACAACCTATTAACCCTTCTTGGAACTCATTCTGTCTTAATGCTAAAGTAAAGCAACCAACAAGATGTTTGCATACAACCACAAGAAGTCAGAGTGGAAGGAGGTGGCTTCAATGAAGATACCCAGAGCGATGTTTGGAGCAGTTATCCACAAAGGGAGGATTATTGTGGCTGGAGGAGTCAACGATGAAGGCCTGACAGATGCATGTGAAGCTTACGACTTTGGAACAAACAAGTATGTGCTATTATTGGTACAGTTTTTTTATAGGCCCTTTATGCTTACAACAAGCTTATTTTGTTTTTTCAAGACATTTTTAGAATATTATACATTTGAATTTCTTTTAGCTGTCACTTTTCTTTGTTTAAAATCTATATCTCACCTCAGAACAAATATCTATATAGCACTTTAAGCCACTGCTGCCCCAAAAAGTTATTCTCAGAAAAAATTATTTGCATAATTTGTTTCCTGTTGTTGGGAACCACTGATTTAAATCCAGATTGAAGATTTTAAAAAGTCAAAGAACACTTGAGATTTTTAAGAAATAAGGATCACAGCTGAGTGTGTCTTGTTATAGGTGGTCGCCCTTCACCGAGTTTCCCCAGGAGAGGAGTTCAGTTAACCTGGTCAGCTGTGCAGGGCTGCTGTACGCTGTAGGAGGCTTTGCCATGGTGGAGAATGAGAACAAAGAGTGTGCACCCACTGAAATCATTGACATATGGCAGTACGTGTTGATTTTTCTTTTTTGATATTTAAAAATTTATATTGTGATACTAACCATAACCCAACATCTCTCTCTGTCTCAACTGAGTAATACAGCAACATGTTTTCACTTCCCTTCCAGGTATGAAGATGACAAGAAACAGTGGACTGGTATGATCAGGGAGATGCGTTACGCAGCTGGAGCCTCCTGTGTGTCCATGCGCCTGAACACAGCCAGGATGCCGACACTGTAATAACAGTCCAGGGACATAAGAGTACATTAAATTTACTGTTGTAGGCAAGAATATTATATACATGCTCTTATGTAGCGGCTCATTGTTGTCATTTATCATCTTCGCCACATCTCCTTTGCTATTCCCCACACCTCACTTCAACCCATTACATATGTGTGTAATTACTGCTAACAGGTAAAGGTCTGCATAGAAACATTTTCCTCTGTCAGCTTGAAAACATTCTTTTATTCAGCTGCAATGTGAAGTGTAGAACTTTTGAGTATTAAAATATCTCCCACAGACCTGCTCTGTTTGACATTTAAGTTTTTTTTTTTTTGTTTGTTTTTTGGAAGCAACATTTTTAACACATCTCCTAATAGTACAGTACACATTATACTCAGAACCTGAAGCCATGGGTACTATATATTGCCTGACAAGCTTGATGTTTAACATTTCAAGATCATTGTTATCCTAAAATAAATAAAGTAACTTATTTGAGTGCAGCACATTTGTGTTGTAAATACCAGATAACACCAGATACCAGTATATAAACACCATACCTTAAACTTTCAGCTGTAATAATTAGCTAAATTGTCTACACCAAGGTGTTAATTCCCTCCCCAATCTCAACTGTACTTTGTTACTATTACATATGTACAAAACAGAATACAAAACACTGCATTTCATTTTTAAAAAGTTATTTAATAGAAAAGACAATCTCATTTAACATGAGGTAGAATATCAATTTTAAGCTCTATGACCAAAATAGCTGATGCTTATTGACTGTCTTAAACACTTCTACAGTCACTGCCGAGAGCTTCTTCAAAACCAAGATGAGATTATGGTGTATGTATGAAATGTGACATTTCTTTCAGGATTCAATAAATAAGGCCTTCAAGAAGAAAGGTCTTTAAATATTTTGTTCTTTAGATATTCCTTCCAGGCATCCTGCGTTGAAAGCTCCATAGAGTTCCATTCAAAGTGAGGGATCTGTCATTTTAAAACACATTGATTATTTCACTGTCTTCGCGTCTTATTCAGTACTGGCATTTAATAAGATTTAGTATAGAGATGACATACACAGTACTCCATGTCAACTCGTGTGATGTTTTCTCACCTGAACAACATGATATCCCAGAATTTCAAGGTGTCTTTTTTTCATCAGGGCTTCACCTTTCATATTATGAGAATTTTTGCAGAAGAACCTTGAATCAAGAAAGTCCACAGCAACTCTAGGACAAAAGTAAAACAGAATGTCAAACATATTCCATTTCTCAGTGTTTAGTCATTTTGAAACTTCATTCTGTATGCTGTATAATGTTACCGCTGAGCTCCAGGTGGCAGCTCATCATTTGTGCTTTCCAGGTTGCTCCTCTGCCACTGAACCTTTCCTTTGTCAGAGACCTGCAGTGTGCTGGGCTTGCTGTAAGGCCACGGCTGGAGGTGTTTGTCCAGTATGCATTCAAAGTCTGAAAAGAAAGTCAAATGCCTCACTGAATAAATGAATATGCATTTGATTGATGAGGCTTATTTTCCTGTAAGATTTTCTATTTTTATGTTTCTTTGCACAGACTCAAGTTCTGAGTCATTGGCGTTTCAGTCGTTAAAGGACATTGTTGGCCATTGAAGGACTGAAACACTTCCCATGGGGATAAACACCTCCTGCTCACCACCAGACATAACTGATGAAGCCTCTTGGATGAGAGGTGAACCGTCTTCTACCTAAAACTACGTCCAGATGCCTTCTTCTAAGTTTTTTTTTTTGGCTTAAAGGATTATTTTTTAAAAACGCATACACTTGACACAAAGGCTACCCATCATATGAGCTTTTTATTGCACAGGTGCAAAGCCTTTTTCAGAATAGAACAGATGTGATAAAACATGTTTAATACTGAAATGGAAATAATCCTGATATAGCTCACCTACGGTGTGAAAATATGGACTGACAACTGCTGCTCGGACACAGTTAATGCCACCAAGAACTTCACCCAGTATTTTGTGTATTTGCTGTTGCACAGGACTGACTGTGCCAGTCCCTGGAAAACAATTTGACAGACAAGTGATTGTATGAACTTATTTGAAGTCAAATTTCTAACCCAGCAATATGACAAAATCTTAGTGAAACTCTTTACCTTTGCTTTGCAGATGCTGGCAGTATTGCTCATGAAACCACGGCACCTGGAACTCAGGACACTCGAGACACACGGCACGATTGAGTTCCATGAGGCGCAGTCTGGTTCGCATATTGAGGGAATCAGGTAGGGCTATATGACGTAATGAGAACAGTTACTTTAGCAATATTTAACAAGTGCAATTTGCTTTTATTTTAGCACAGACTCACAGGGACAAATACTTTTTAATATAATTTAAACACAAACTTTCTAGCTGGGCATCCAGCTTTCCCAGAAAGTCGATGCTGAAGATTTCTCTGATCAGTTCTTCAGGAAAACGGTCAGCCACAGCCAAGGAGTATGCCAGGAGAACTAGCAGATGTGCATCAAAGGAGCCTACAAATGCAAGGAGAAATGGTGTTAGTGGAAACTTAAAATTATAAGGAAAAAAAAAGGCTGTACTTTTCACTTACGGATATGAGGAGTGAAGCGCTGAATACAAGCATCATACAACTCATCTGCCTGTGCAGGATCATAATTCAGGACAGAAAATGGCAGGAGTATGGCATATGTTGCTGAGTAGTGGATCTTTAAAATGATACATGAAAAGTAATGTTAATACATAATTTGTTAATCCAGATTTAACATGCTGTGATGTCTTTTAAAGCACCTTGTCAATGTCTTCAATGGTCACACTGGCGATTCGGTCCATCAGAGGAGGGCAAAGGTGATTTGCCCTGGTTAAGAAGAAGGCCAGCTCTGGCGCATTAATCCAGTTTATCTGGTCAATCATCCTCTGCAGAGTGACCATTGTCTCTTGGAGCAGCATTTCTTCAAACCACTCCACTGAAATGAACTTCAGCTCCTCCAGCACCAAATCCAGCCGGTCG